CAGAGACTCACATAAAGATCTGTGGGATTTTTAAAAAAGGAAAATTCTAATTTTCTCCCCACCTTCTGGGCATGTAAATGTATATGCAATTTATGAAGTTTTTCTCTGTGAAAGGAATAAAAACTGAACATTAATCACTGATTGACTGATTGACTGACTATGTGCCATCAAGGTGTTGTTGATTCTTAATGACCATATAGATAGATTTATGTTATGCTATGCTATGCTATGCTATGCTATGCTATGCTATGCTATGCTATGCTATGCTATGTATACCAATTTATATTACAAGTTTCAGGGGAAAGAAACAACATTTTCAGTGTATAACACATGCAAGAAAGAGAAAACCTGAAAGAAGGAAGATGCAACCATGGGCCTGAGTGATCTGGTTCTAAATATCTATTTGAAACAATAGGACCATATTTTAGCTTTATAAACCAAAATGTTTTCATACAAGACAAATTCTATGAAAAATAAGGACCACTTTACATATATTTTTTCTACATGAAGCTCATCCATATCTAGGAAACAAGCGTATAAAATGTTAGAGGTTGCCAAAATCCAGGCAACCAGTAGATGCCAACAAAGAGACACTTACAACTGTTACCCTTTGCTGTCATCCACATTTTTGGAGCCCAAATCATTATAAAAATGTATTAAATGTGAAGAAGTGATAGTACTTATTTTAAATAAAGGATAGTACTTATTTTAATTAAAGGAGAAATGTATTTCCAGTGTAGTATACAATTAAATTATTTAAAAGTATTATTAATGGCATTAATAATCTATCATTAAATAGAGACCACTAATCAGCCTCAGTACAAGAGAATAAAAATACTATAAAAATATTTGAAAGGAAGGGAAAGGAAAGGAAGTTTGGCACCAAAATACCAATGGTATTGGCAAATAGCGACTTGCCTACAGTTTTTATAACTAGTAACTCCCACTTCTATGTAGTAATACTAGGAAACTTTAAAAAAAAATGTGGGTGTTCAGCTCTTCTTTCAGATATCAATATACAGACAAGCAGGCTTGTAAACATTTTTGCAGACTATTCACGTGTGAACTTATTTACATGTCCACATTCACAATGCTAACAAGAACAACATTTATCCAGCTTAACTCAGTAATCATCACAAGAGTCCTGTAACATAGGTCAGAAATATAACTGTAACTCTACAGTGTTACAGACTGGGTGCTCAGAGAGCAAGAATAAATGCTTATCAAAAATGATCTACTGTTTATAGGATTGATACGAACTATGCCTTGTTGTGGTACACAAATGAAATGAGAAGTTTCATAAGCATATTACATTCTATAATGGCACAAAACAGTTATATCAAAATTTTAGGATGCTTGAAACAGACTGTTTCCAGAACAAGCTGGTTCACTCACTGTATCAGAAGCATTAATTAGCCTAAGGATAACAAATGAGAATTTCTGCTATACCCTCCGCTTCAGCTATTTATATACCTTGTGTTCCACACACATTTCCTTCTGCAGAATTTCTCTCTACCCACTCACAAAAGAAGAAAAATCACTTTCTAGAAGAAAACAAACCCCATGTGTCTAACCTTGTCTGGGCTTAAACCCTAAGGACGGTTGGAACTATATGAAATCACAAGGAAACTATATGAAATCACTAGGAGTCAAGCCTGATTTGGATGAGGCCTTACAGCTTTAAGAAAAAATACTTTCAATCTTTGAGCATGAAAATGTATGTTTTAAGTCTTTTTCATGTTTGAACTCCTAGAGAATATGAAGAAAAAGGAATTGTTAGGCCTGCCTAATCTATCTCCATCTCCTCCAAGCCAGCATTCTCATGTAATTAGAGCAAGTCAAGACTGCCCCTATTCATTCTAAAATGCAATGTAAGGAAATGCAGAGTCAGGAGCTACAAGCACGAGCCATTTTTCTCTTTTCATTCAGAGCCCAATGAAATTTATTTTATCTTGCTTAACATTCCATTGAAACATTCCTTCAGTTTTTGCTATCCAAGGATACCTCTCCTTTCCTAACAAACTTCACTTCTCTATTTTCTAGATTTCTCAAACTGCAAGACCTTTGGCATGGAGCAATCTACTGATCTAGATATGATGCATCCATCTTGAAGGAATATAGGTAGGCAACCTGTGGCCTTCGATTTCATGCAGGTAGGAAGGAAAATCCAAAAGAAAAAAAATGGGCAAGGGAATCAAAATAGAGCAACCAAAGGAGGTGGAAGCAAGAGGAAAGCCCTCTGCAAGTCATCAGTTCAGAACTCATGAAAAAACCATCCATCTTTCCCTTGGCAGTCTTGCAGATGAAGAGGAAGAGAAAGGAGTAGCAGAAAGAAAATGGGTAATTCATCTACTTTTGGCTCCAGCCCACCCACCATCAGCAACAACAGTACCTCTTAGATTATCCTGGAGAGAATGAAGCCCCTCAGAATGAAGCTTTCTCTGTTTTATAGGCTGTGATAACATCTTTGTAGCACACAGGGCAAGGACGAGGAAGAAAAAAGATTTTAGACTACTGCTTCAGCTAGTCCTTTTTCGTTGTGCGCTGGAGTTTACTGTGGTAGAACTTTTTAGCATGTTCTCATTATGTAAATAAAATTTGAAAGTGGAATAATGGTATAATGCAGTGTGTGTGTGTGTGTGTGTAGTTGTTAGCTACTCATTGAGTATTTTCTCTCCTCTCTCTTGTTTTAAGATCTTGGTAACAGTGGCAACAGCAGCACCTCGTGGCAGCGGTCAGTATTTTGTATATGATCTTTTGCATCACCTCATCCAGAGTCTTATCAATCAAACTTGAACTTAGCTTTATCAGAAGAATTTTACAGCACCAAGTATGTTTCTTCAGCACTACAGGAAATGGTGATCTTTAAAAGGTGGATTAAAGGCAAATGTCTTTTATGCTAATTGCAACAAGTGCATTTCCAGCATGTGCAAGGGGTTTTTAGATCTCCCAAGAATCATCTTCCATGGGGCCTACATACAGTCAAAAGTTTCTTGTGAAGTGCATCACATTCTGTCTCTTCTTTCTATTAGCAATTACAATTGCAGAGGTTTATATTACAGTACAACTTATCAGGTGCACAAACATCATGGCATTATATCTGGAATCTAATGTTTCAGCTCCTAAAATACAGAAAGAATTTCAGAAGGCATTTCTTTTCCTGCAGAGATTGATACTGCATGAATTCCCAGATGTTCACTTTGTTCTGTGTGTCAGCAAGTGATCCTTTGTTAAACATTTTTTAACATTTTTAGTAAGAATAGGATACTTAATTGTGTTTCAGCAATACATGTTTAATATGTAAAGAGATACATATTTGGTAAAGTTTACATTTCAGGATAATTAGATATTTTCATGGGGATGGGAGACATCAGCATCGAAAACCTGTTATTTTGAAGAACTCATTACACCACAGAAACAAAACAAACCCCATACTGATGCTCGACAACTTTCATTACTTTTATGAAAGCACCTGATTATCAGCAACAGCAACATATTCATGTTTAACTAAATAATCCAGAGTTTCAGCTGAATTATTTTATTAAAATGTTGCATTACTGTAATTCTCAACCTGAAATGATGGATATTCATATGAAGTATTGACACTCTGATTACGTTCACCTCTTTCTCCTCTCTCTTGAAAGGTTATTGCCTAAAGCACTATGTACTCTCAAATATCCCTGGGCAAATGTTGTTGTTTTTTTCTCTCTCTCTCACACACACACACACTAAAATACTAAAAGGCTTGTGGTAGCACACAGGCAAATCTAGGTTAGTAAAATTTTTGTGCTGTATTTTAGATTTTATGAAATATACATAAACCTGTCCTCTCAGATATATTTAACAGGAATAATTGTGTTGTGGGGATAGGAAAAAGACAACAGAAGAGGCTGACAAGCAGGAGCCAAGAACCTGAATCCTGAGTTAGGGAAATGTTAAACATGAACATACAAATGGTTTAAGTTCTAACCAGAACGTACAAAACAAAATCCAGGGTTGCAGTCTTGCCAATACGCAGATCCCTTTGAGCAAGACAGAAATTTATTCAGAAAAAACAAAATCAACATACTCACCCTAAAGCATTTCTCCCTTAGCCTATACATTTTTCATCAAGAACCATAGCCAGGCATGAAGGAAGACACTTAAAACCAGGCAATCCACTCCTCCCCCCAACACATTTCTTCTAAAAATCCTCTATCAGGATCTTAGCTGTTGGTTTATTTTCTCTCCCACCTATAACAGTGTTTACCAAAACTAAGAGATGTGATCCGGGGTCTGAAGTGACAACGCAACTAACAATCAACGGCCTCTCTCCTCCTCCTCCTCCTCCCACCACCCGCATGCATCCACCCTGAACACCCTGCTTTTGCTTCCAAGATGGGAAAGACCACTGCCTTTCAGCCTTAAGCAGGCAGCCTTGGTGCTGTTAACTAAAGCAGTTTTGAAATTCCCTCCTGCAGGATGCAGCCGCTCGCTTGCCACCTTCAACACTTCGCTTCCCAGAGGAAAAGAAGTTTTCAGCGTCGTTAATGCTGGGTTGGGTTGGGTTGGGTTGGGTTTGAGAGAACTGGCTTTCTTCTCCCCTGTACGTTTGGCCCTCCAGCAGCCAAGCGACCGGGGCACCGGACTTCGGGGACGGGTCCCTGCTTGCAAAAGGCTGCGCCTTCTCCCAATATTGAGAAGCTGTCTTAAGCGGGGCAAAGGGCTCGGGGAAGGTCGGGCTCAGGGGTGCCATTAAATCAACTCCTTGCCCTGCCCAATCTGGGAGGGCGCGACAAGTCCCGGGCAGTGCAAAAGCGGCGAAGTGCAAACCCCTCGCCACCTCCGCCAGTGCTGGGCAAAGGGGCAGCAGTCCCGAAAGGGACTCGCGGAAGGGGGGTGTGGTGACGATGGGGCGCGGGGCGAGACTTCGTACAGACAGTACTATCCTCAGTCGCTCGCATCCTCCACCCCTGCCCAGGCGTTTGCACCCGTCCCTCTCTCCCTCCGCCCCTCGTTACCTTGTTGCAGTGGTAATAGTCCAGGGGGCCCAAGCAAGGGGGGTCGGCCCCGGGCAAAGAACCAACGGCGGTGGGGGCAGAAGGGTAAAACCTAACGTCCATGCCGGGACTGCGCGCTGAGGAGGAGAAAGAGGTGGCGGCAGCGGCAAGAGGAGGCTCCAGGGGGCATGGAACCGGCTCCTCCGGCGGCGGCTGCTCTGCCTCTGGCTCAGGGCGGGCGGGAGGAAAGGGGGGGAGAGGCGGGGAGAGGGAGAAGGGGAGGGCGCGCAGCCCAGAGCCAGCTCCTCTCGCACTCTATTGTTCCAGGCACCGAGGCAGGGGG